AATTTTTATTCCTCCTGGAGTGCTCTTCGTTGAAGTGAATATAGTGAATATGACATATCCTTAGTTGGGAAGTAAACCCTGGAAGTCTGTGTTATAAGCTCAAGGGAATATTTTCCTTTGATGATGAATCATGAATGTGTAAAGTTGGTTCATTAATCTGAGAATCTAACAGGCAATATGATTATTTCGAATTTTGATGATATTATATATAAAAAGTTCAATCTAGAAGATTTTGATTTTTTTAATTAAAAATCAATCTAAATTATAAATCAGCTAGGTAGTCTAGACTCTAGATTTTTTCCATCAGAAATAGAAATTTATTTCTAAACACATCTGAATTATCTAAATCAATCAGAGACTGTCTAAATTTATTTACATTAATTGTCATTTTTTCCATTTAAAATTAAAAAAATTAGTTATTATCACCAGACATGCATCAGTCATTTTAAATTTCCATCTCTGCTTCCAACTTTTTTGAGATTCTTACCCACCCATATCTCCTCCAACACGTTTTTTTTAAAAAAGGAAAAAGCAAAATAAATTTTCTTCAATCTTAAATTTCTTATAGTCAGCTTAGGAACAACGCATTCATGGCATTCCACAAATTTAATTTTATCCCAAAACAGAGAAAAAGAAAATAGTCAATAGTATATACATATATAGACAAATATAATCTCATTATCAATATTGTGAAAGGGCACTATGGTATGGTAGGTCCCACAGGCCCGTGAACAAACACAAAAGCTTCTTCCTCTTTATGCAATCCATCCATCTCCCCCCTCAAAAAAGCTTCCTCCTCCTTTTTGTTTTTTTTCCTTTTTAAAATTTTAAATACCATCTTCTGTTATCTTGGTTAATATAATTTTATTTTTATTTAAATTATCGTCTTTTATAAGTTGGTAGTTAGAAAAATGTTTTTTTAATCGTGTTTTTCTTAAAATGAATAAAAGGTTAATAACAAAATTTAAATTATCAAAAGCAATATTCTAAAAACAAATCAATAAAAATGTGTGCACATCATGGATTTATGTTGTATGATCTCATGTCTCATTTTTTAATCTGGGTTAAGTTGTAAATTTGTTTGGCAAGTTTTCACTCCGAAGCGATGGGTATCTAGAAGTTTTTTTGAATTTAAATTTGTTCTGAAAGTTTAAAATCACACTAATAATACCCTCTATCATTAAAAAAATGATGTTGACTTCTAATCTTTTTATTAGAAAGGGTAATATTGCTACAAGTTTTTTTTTAGAGCAAATTTGCATCCCAAAAAACTTTCATATGTCTAACACTCCTAAGTGAAAATTTTTAGGATAAATTTGTATTTTAACCCTTTTTCTTTTGAGTGCTAAAAAAGCCTTTTTATTTTGATCGTGTGATGAGAAAAAAATGATAATAGAGCTCCACCAAAATGCCAAAACGGGACAACTTTCTCTTGTTCACATTTTTTTAATAGTTTGGTGAAAAAAAAATTCTTTTTGGTACATGGTGAAAAAAAAAATAGATTAGTTAAGTGAGTCTTAAGAATTGAATAGTATTTGGCTCAGTTTTAAAACCTTCAAATCAGCAAATATGTTTATTTCTATCAGGTTATATTAGAAGGTTTAAACATAGACTCGTAGCCACGATTTCAATTCACACCAATCAGACTGATTTTTTATTTGTTTTATTTATAAATTTAAAGACAGGCACACACTAATATGTCAACATTAAACTGGAGCCAGATATCCCATCTAAGCATGACAAGTGGTATTTTCACTGGATAGCTTGTCGTTCACCAAACTAATGTTTTATTGGCTGCCCATCATTGTTTTCCACACAATAAAAGTTGGCAATTTAATGAGACTGACCCAAATGCAACTTGTTTTTGTGAAACTTTAAGAGCCTTAATTGTCCTTGTGGTGCTTTATGTTGTCCTGTTAGAATTAAGGTTCACATGTTTGAAACAATCATTTTCAATGAATGATATGATTGTATATCAATGAATAAAAAGATAAAGAAGTAAATTACGTATATATTTTTTTAACTCATTGCAAAGAATTCAGGTCCTTCAATTTGTTCCCCTTTTAAAAGGGTGTTCTTAACTTTATAGGAAAAAAAGGTTTAATTATTGGTTGAAATTAGCATGGTGAGGGGCCTCAGTGTCCTACAAATTGGGGTCATTATCATAACAACCATAATTATGAATGTAAGGTGGGGTCTTCATTAATAATTACATATGGTCAAAGTGTGATACACTAAATGGATTATCTTCATATAATTATATTTCTTAATGATTTAATTACACTATTAATCAAGTAAGGATTAAATGTGCATATAATATAAGCTGTACTACTTATGAATAATGTAACTTTCTATTGATTGTGTGTGTGTGTGTGTGTGTGTGTGTGTGTTGGCTAATAGAAAATGAAGTAAATTTTGTTATTGAAAAAGATTTAGCATGTCTAACTTAGATAAAATTAAAATTTAAACAAAAATATAAAGTTTATCAAAACAAGAACCATTAAAAATGTTTTAAACTTTCTTGAATCTCCTTAAACTAAGTACAATTTTTAACGTTGGACAAAAGCTTGAGAAAAAGGGGTTATATTATTATTGACTTGTACACAATGCCATTTATTATAAATTTATACTGTGTATTGAAATATTTGTTTTTACCTTTTTAATAAATATAATTTGAAAGAAAATGTCACAGTTCCTGAGTGACACCACTTAATAATTAAAGAGAGTCTTAACTTTCCCATCATTCCCTATCATCGATGGAATTTTTTCCCCTTTAAATATATTATTAAACAAATGGATTGGACAAATTGTGCATCATTAACGAGTTGATACTAGTAGGCCCATTTCGGTAGTTGGTGAACAGGGTCACATGTGCCTTTTTTGAACCACGAAATTATTGAGGAGTAATTTCTTTTTTAAAAATTAGATTGATACTGGATTGGACAGTGATATCAATTTATAGTTTATTAATTTAATCATGATATGCATTTAAAATTTTCATAAATGTACTGACCAGCAAGGAAATGAATTTTCAAAGTTCATAATGTGCGTGTTATATAACATCCATAAGAAGTTGGGCTGCGTACAAGGCAGACTTTTTTTGCGTTCCGCAGATTGCATATGATCCATGTCTTAATAAAAAAAAAAATGAAGTCAAGTAATTATAAAGATATAAACATTTTTTTATTTAAAAAAATCCATTATCAATATTAACTAATTGATTTGGACTAGTTACATATATTCTTCATTAATTTGATTATTTTAATATATTTTTTAAAATTAATTATTTTCTTGAACTAATCAAATGGAAACTTAACCTAATGTGATTCTCATTATCATGCTAAAATCGATACACATGTAACATTTATTAGAAATCATACTATTCATATAACATTAAATAGGGCAACTTCAACTCTGCCACTCTTTGCAATACCCATAACTCAACCCAGTGATCTTTTGCACCTCAAAAAAAGAAAAGAAAAAGAAAAAGAAATGATATGTTCTATCCGGCATTCCATACACCCCTTCCAATTGTAAAAATAATAAATAACTAATTCATAAATACTAAAAAAATTAGTTATGATGTTTTTACATTAGAATATAAATTAACCAGTTCAAGGAGAAAGTAGCACGTTTCTTTATGAGCCAAAATGAATAAATTCTCTCTCATGATCATCCATATGAGCTGACACACTATTGCTTCCAGCCCCCTTCGGCGGAGATAAAAGAAAGGAATTTGTTTCTTTCTTCACTTTATTATTCAGCAAATTTTCTTTTAATTATTTTCGAAAATAAGAAAAGAAAAACTTGTGTTATGGAGCTAAATTTGATACGTTTATTCTAATATCGTCTAAATCTTCTCAGTACAAAGCACTACCATCCAGCCCCGCAAAATTCCATCCAAAAAATATTTCGACAAACCCAACGTCACCATGCGCAAAATCATAAAATCAATCAACCAATCAGTATTTATCAACATGTAAAATATAAAGTATATTAAAAAAAAATTATCATATATCACGAATGGTATCAACCAGACTCTAGCTGATCCTAAAACCTAGATCCAAAAAGAACCTTCAATGGAGAGTTTGATCATTGAGGAACAAAATAATTGCTGATAATCAAAGAATAATACCTTTCTAACTGGGAAAATAATTCTCTCAAGATGCCCTTGGCACACCATTTGTCCTTGCTGGCGATAGGTAGCAGGTTCCATCCCGCATGCTACCACTTGTATTATAAAGAAAGAAAGGAAGAAAGAAAGAAATATAAAACAAACCTCTCCCAAGTCAACATGGCTAATTTTTGGGGTCTTCAAGGCCAATCAGCCTGCTCTAATGCCATTTCAACATCTTACTAGCCACATCTAATCGATTTCAGAGTCTATAAATACTGAAACCCACGTAAGAAGATTAGAGAAGCCGCCAAAAGATTATTCAAAGAGTTGGCACACTACATAAAATACCCAAATTCCCAAGATACAGATGTCATCAACTTCCCCAGCATCTATTTTGCTAATAAAGCTACCACCTACTCACACAAAGCCAATTTTTTCTCTTTTTATCCTTTCAAAGAGCGACAACAATTGGTTGATAAAATAAACAGTGTCTGTGGATCATTCACGATCTCATTGCCTTCTACATTTCCGTCTCTTCGGAGTTCCTGGGGTCATGTCCTCTTCAATAGGTATCCCAAAATGATGCCAATAATGCCAACCAGAAGTACATACGTAAATGGAATGCCACGGCGGTTCCTGCTGACTTGACGCCTCAAGAGATCCTGCAATGTGAAGGATTCAAGTTGATAATATTTTTCATGGGAACCATCTAAAGGTTTAATCGCATTGCTTAAATTATTAACTTCTGGACCAAAAGTTAACAAATATTGGAAGTAAAGGCTACCCTTCACAGTGGCACTGAATCAATGTTGATGATCAATACTAAAGTTAACAATGGCCTTGTAAGGTTTGGAGGATGTTTAAAGGGGTAATGATCAGTTCAGCATGGTATTGGCACTACTGACCTACCAAATCAATATAATTAGTTTTGTGAAATGAAGAACAGAACAGAACCTGGAAATAAAACAAACTAAACCAACGAATTAAATTAGATTTTAACCACTGCATCCAGAGTATCCCCTATCTCACTAGTCCACCTCAGCCCCCATAACCAAGCTCTCTCTTCCTCTAAACTTCGAATAAAGCCAAAAATACATAGCAAGAATCAGCCACTACAATGAGTGTAATTATGAAGAGAAAAAATAAAATCCTTTGCTTTTCCCTATGTTTACTTTTTCATTACTTCCCACGTCCCCTCCCCTCTCATGAGACGTAAGGTGAAATTGTGGTGTGGTGTCTCTAACAAAGGACATATAGAACAAGAACAACCATGGGGAAAGGAGAAAATGAGAGTTGAACGACAGCTAAATAGCAATCTTGAGTCCAAATTCAGGTCTCTCAAATCAAGACACGCATAGTAGACTTCAAGTAAGGAAAACCCAACTTAACAGGCAACCGACCTTAGATTACTAAGTTCAAGTAAACGAAGAATCAATTAAAAAATGGGAAATAGACCTGGAATCATGAATAAATTCCCAGACCACAAAAAAGAAAATCATATTTCAAATATATAGTGATGCTGATATTGCTAAAAAAATTTTGGCAAACCCCACCGAATTTATGCATTCTCCAAGTCGTAACATGAAGCAAATCTGGGAGTTTCCTTTTCTACAAGACTAACAATGTTAAAGATGGAAATGTCAATTAAAACCCATATAAGATTACATTTCTCAAGACTTGGTATCGGGAGACAAAAGGAAAAGCTCATTTCTTTGTCTGGCCAAAGCATAACAGCCAGCTATACAAGTTCTATCTACAACTGTTATAGCACAAGGAAATTTTCTGGCAACCAGAAAGTGCTTGTTAAAAGGGAAAACCCAATGAACCTGGACAACACTTAACAATGCTGCACATACACAAGAGCTTGTTAAAAGGGAAAACCCAATTAACCCGGAAAACATTGAGAGAACACACAGACCCCCCCCCCCCCGGGGGGAGGATAACCCAGCAAACTAAGCAGACAATTTTCAATCTAGGACACCTGTCTGTTTCGCAAAAGCAAACATTTCTCATCTTTAGTAGACATTCAGGTTGCAGCTTTGCCCAAATTAGCAAAGAAAATGAAGTAATGAACTTAATTTTTTAACCACAATCATATTTTCCCAGATGCACCGTACCAAGCTACGTCAGACAATATATATTGACAACTCGACTCCAAGCAAACAAAAATCGGATCATGCTTCTATGCAATGTATGCCAACTGGGCCCATGTTTCCTATCAATCCCCATATGGGGAAAAAAAAAAAAGTACTCCTACGTTGATAACAAGATGGTAAAATGGCCCCACACCTACTTCTAACTTCCAATATGAGCATCCATTATCCAAAATAGTTTAGCGGAAATGTCAAGATAAGGATATTAATTTGTTTTCCAGAAGGCTGCATTAGAATGATGGGACGGGATAAACTATCAATAAACCTATAAAAACTTTATAAGCATGCCAGAAAGCTATAAAAGGTTGTCTCTGTGATTCCATACCAATTCTTGCTGCAGCTTTTTATTTTGCTCAATTGTGTAATTTTTCTCCTCAGTCACCGTTGAAATAAGAGTCCTTGCCTGAATCAATAATGAAACATGAATGAACACAAAGCCTTCACGCATATCTCAGCAATACCAATCCCAAGCTCTAGCAAGTAGAGACTGTGAGAGCCAATACAATCTACCCGCAAAATTTCGTCCAGAAATAAAGGAAATGGCATAAATGAAACAACTTCAAACAATAAATCAATGAGTCATAAGAAATGCTTAGAAAAACACAGAGCAAGGGCAAAACTAGTCAAGTTGAACGTACATTAAGAATTCAATGACGTTTTGTTTCAAGCCACAGAACTAATTATAGATGAATCTTTGAATTCCTTTCTTGTTGGGTTCCAAACAGTTACAAGAGAAAACAAAAATCCCAGCCCTCCCAAACACGTGGGCACATATGTGAATGCTAGTGCGACAGCCAACAAGCATACACACAAAAGAGATACACCACACTTAGTTTCATTGCTTCAACTTATGAGTTACTTAAGCAACTGAATTTTTTTATCAAAAATAAAAAAATGTAATCATATGCGTATAAACATCCAATTTGGTCACCTATGATGTATAAAACACCTTGGAACTGTGTATAAAGAATCATTCTCAGGTACCAAATATGATTCAATCAGTTAAGATAAAAAGAATTGAGCTGAAGCACTACAGAGGCTCCTTGCCACTTGATGCTTCAGATGAAGTACCTACAATTGGGCTACCAATTCTGTACCTAGCTAGCTGCACACATCTCTGTCAATAGATCTTGCCTCACAACCATAAGATTTCTTGTCACTAGCTGGCAGCAAGATTAGTTAAGGATGAGAAAAGAAAAACCTAATCCACAAATTTTGTCACAGTTCTAATCAAAGAGGATTTAAATTGTCAATTGTAGATCAAGAAGTGTTTTTTGACCCTCTCCCCTGCCAGTTTAAAAGAAACAAGTGTTTCAGTTGTGGAGCAACACACCAGGGAACCAACATGGGATGGAAATGATTACAGAAACAGAAATAGTAATACCACTAATAAGCACATGCTAAGCAGTGCTAGTTTACTTCAGCCAGTACTAAGTAATAACTGCTTCAGCAGAAATTGAACCTGGTTGAGCACGCACAGGCAAAAGTCTACAGAATATTTTAAATATGCTTGTACATAAATCTCTATTCCAACGAGTCCCCCATTAAAAAAAAAAAAAAAAAATTGCAAACTCAAATGGTGTTTGGATTAGCTATTTAGAAGTGATTGTAGGGTGTGTGAGGTAAATATATGAGAGGAGCATGAAAGCACTTTTAAGTGCTTTTAGTGTGTTACCAAGCACCCCCAATGAAAAATACAAAGGGCAGAAGGAAAAGGGAAAACAGGGAACTGCAATTTGTTAAGCAATCTCCATCTAAACAGTAGAAAAGTTGAAGTTGACATCAATAGTGAGATACTCCCACTCTTTACTGGGATAGGAAAAATAATGTGCCCTGAACTTACACATTCCAGCAGAAGCAAGTCAAATATTAGTCAAATGCAGACCAGACCTTACAGTGCTAGAGACTTCAGGCACCTTGAGGTGTGAGGGCTAAAAAAATGCTCCCCAATTGAAGCTAGGCACTAAATTTGAGGGGAAAAAGTTGAAAATATGGTACATAATTGAAAATAGGTAAGTATGAACAATTGTGATAACTATTGACACATAAATTAACTATGTAGGCACAATAAGTCAATATACAAAGTAAAGTTCAAAACTCTGAACAGCGTGAGAAAGAGAGGTGTTGGCTGAATTCCAAAAGCATACTGGATTGAAGTGATGAATAGAGTAAAGGAAGACACAAAAGAGAAGTGTTGAAGACATAAAGGCATACAGGACTAAGTTTTCAAAGTAGCGTCAAGCAACAATACCTAGAGGGAAGGATGTTTTTATTGTGGCAAGCAACAATACCTAGAGCAAAGTATGTTGTACACTTGTGTCGTCTCTCGTGATCTTGCTGCTTTGTTTAAAAAGTGCTGATTACTAAAAGCCTAGACATTAACATTAAGAATGAATGATCACTCTTCCCCATTACTTATGACTGGCAGGGTTTTGTGGTTTTCCTGTGTTCAAGACATTGTTTTTTAATGCTAAAAATCAACAAAATAGTTATGAATCGTTTAATGGGCATATAGGTCTATATCTTTGCAAAATAAAACTAGTGTATGCAAGGTGCCTAAGGCAAGTGCCTTGCTTTTGTTAGAAAGGTGGCAAAGGCACTAGGAAGTGGGTGCCATGGTGAAGGTCCCTCGACAGTGGCAGCAAGAGGCATTGAGGCCTCTTGACAGCTGCCGAAGCAAACCCCATTGGCAGCGCTAAGTAGGTTCCCCCCCCCCCCCCCACCCCCACCCCCACCCCCCACCCCACCCAAAAGATAATCCATGTCTCAAGGAAGCATTAAAATAAAAGCAAACAAGATATCAATCTCTCTCTCTAGAGTCTACCCACCGTTTCTTTAGGTCAAGAACATAACATGAACAGAAATTTCCAATCTATCAATTCATCTTGATAACCATAAGAAAAAGACTCTCTCCCCCCATTGCCCTCGCCCTCCCTCCCTCCATCTCTCTTGTCTACCCATTGTTTCTTTAGGTCAAGAACGTAACATGAACATAAATTTTAAATCTTTCAGATCAGCTTGATAACCATCAGAAAAAGACGGACTTTGAAAGACAGCATGTATTAGAACAGAGACAGAAGGTCATCTAGTTAAAACGAAGCATTAAAGTGAGATAGCTTTAAAAAGTATGCACTAGCTCAACCATTGAAAGAAAACCAGGTTAAGAATAAAAAACCCACCGATTTACCATAGCATATTCAACCATAACGGTCAAAATATCATTAATGCCAGAATTTCAACAGGATATAATGCGAAACACAGCAAGGGAAAAATAAATTTAGACTTGAATCTTTAGGAATATAAGTTCTTGGAATCCAGAGTAGAGAAAGCAACTCATGGTAGACAGTGTCACATAGATATAGAACTCAAATTAGGCATAAACAATGAAAATAAAAACATCCACAACCACATAAATAAATGAGTCCAAACTGAAAGCATCAACTTGTATTCCTTGCAGTTAACATACAGAACCTATAAATCAGAAAGAAATTGAAAGGTACCATATGTACCTCAGACGAAGTTTCTTGAGGTTCAACCCGCTCACTGAAAGCTTTTGAAGCCTATATTGCATGTTCATAATTAACAATAGTTAATGAAGATGAAAAACAGGGAATATTTGTGTTGAGTATAACAAACAAATACAAACCCACTAATTACTCACAGCTGTAAATTCAGAAGAAGCATTTAAATGTCCATTTTCTGATACTGATGGCCTAGGAGAAGAATCTTCCTCTGATCCCTCCCGAACTGGGGATGGTGGTCGAGGAGGAGCAACATATAGAACTCTCAATTTGAACTCCTCAATATGATGGCCTGACTCTTTATTGAACTATATGCAATGAGCACAGAAAAATCAATTATATTAAGCAAAATGACTGTAAATCTTCTTTATTTTACTGAGGCACAATAACTTAATGGTCGAATGGCTACCATATCTGGAGTAATATCTTTAGTGGTAGCTCCAGCACTTGCCACCACGCTCTGAAGGAGAAACTTATCCTTGCATTGCATGTCAGGAGGTGCCTCCTTTTGCGCTTGCATTGTCACTGTATCACACGGATGAATGACGGTCAATAGGTCATTACGGATGATGTTTAAAAATTCAGATATAAAGATAGGCTCTAATATATCTGTCGCGAAGTTCATCCAAAAGATTAAACAGGCTCAAAATAAAACAGGCTAACACCAACCTAAGCATACAAAGATCTATACCAACTATCAAGCAAAGATAGTTTTTCTTTTCATGCGCGTGAATACGTTCGTGCTTCTGTGTGCATAAATGACAGTGATCAGGAAAAATAGGGAGAAAGAAACCTATAATATCACAAGTAGACCTCGGCAACACAATTCCAGTGTTAGGTCTAACACAGTATTTCCTGGGATTCGTTGTCTTGACCTACAAACAACCAATATCACCGCAAAATAAAAAAATTGGAACTATAAGACAGATAAAAAGCCAGAAATTCACAACATAAAAACTCGAATTGATGATAAAAAGAAAAATGAACCGATAAGAAAGTTGCAGAAGTAAAATTCGCACCTTAAAAGCCACATAGTCATCTGTCTTGTTGGACAACTGCAGTGAGCAGGAGATCTGCTTCCTCAATTCAACTATTTGAGAAACAAAAAGGCGAGAAAAATCAGAAGAACGCCAAGAATCGGAAAAGGAACACACAGGAAAGGGAAAGAAACAAAAACTAAAGAAAGAAAGAAAACCAGATTATATTATATTAATATTATTCTACTTTTGGAATTCAAGTCTTACAGGGAAATTGAAGGTCCTGGGGGTGGATATTGAGGAGCTCGCCTGTACTCATGCCGGAGTAGTTCACCGGAGACCAGAAGAAATGGCCCTTTCCGTCAAACAGAAGAAGACGATTTTCGAATTCCGGGGAGCAGCGAGGAAGGCAACAACAACGTGAGACAGATGGTTTTGTCTCTCTTCGATCTTTGGAGAAAGCTTTGCTGCGGCCTGCGTGCGGTATGAATGGCAGGACATTTTCGTCTTTTCCGCCCCTCCAAAAACTTCTAGAACTAGAACGATAGGATTCTTTCCTTTTATTTTCCTTCTCTTTTTTCCTTCTCTTTTCTAAAATTTGTTCGTAAAAGCAAAATTCATTTTAAGAACCTTTATTTTATTTTAATAATAACAATGACAACAACAATATATCAGCATTAATTTTAATATATATTAAGATAAAATTAATCAAAAGTGTCTACGATGTTATTATCAATAATCAATAATTAACATGAAGTGTTTAACCGATGGTAAATTTCATGCTGCCTTTAAAATAAAAAATACAAGGTGAACAAGTTAACTTAATTTAATAAGAATTTTTGTTCAGATTATTCCTTTAATTTTTCCGACATTATTATATTATCAAGAGTTTATAATTGTGTGGTTCTGTGTTTATTTACCAAGGAATTTTTACGAATTGATATATAATTTACTTTCAAAGCAGAAAAGAGAAGGGATATAATCCTTTTGATAATTTTTATTATTTTATTTTTTAAATAACTCATCATGATCCATTGTAATAAACTATGATTTCGACGTTATACTAATATTTGCAAAGACCAAGTTTCATATTTAAAATAGAGTGGAAGTCCATCCTTGCATTGATTGTATCATCCTTTTTAATGTTTGTATTATTGAGATAAGATAAAATGGGAAGATAAAGCTTTAAATACTACTCCCTCCGTTCCTTATTATAAGAGACAAATAACCGAAGTACGTTGATCAAAAAAACAGTTAAAATTAGTTAAGAACAATTAATGTGTAAAAAGTATAATTTTTTTTCAAAAATACCCTCATTAATAAGGAGAGAGAGCATGAGAGAGAACAATTAAATTATTAAAAGAAAGAGAAGTGGGAGGGAGAGAGAGTGTGAGTTGGAGATAATAAATATGGGTAAAATAGTAAATTAACACAAAAAAGTAGAGACAATTTGTAAGTGTCTCTTATATATAGGAACATGCCATAAGCATCAAATGTCTCTTATAATAAGAAACAGAGGGAGTATAAAGTTAGCCGCTTTCTTCTCTTAAAAAAACAAAAAAAAAGAGAGAATTATTATAAGGTTCAGATGAAAATATTTAAATACGAAGAAATTTTAATAACAAATTAGCAGTTGTCATTGTTATTCCATTACATGATGTTTTATTGTTATTAGGATTTTTTAGTAATTATATTTCTTATTTAAGACTTTATATCAATTCTATAGAAAAATAAAGAAATAAAAAATTGTAACAAGTTCAAACTATATATATTTTTTAGTCAATGTCAGATATAAAATCTAAAATTTATAAAAAAAAATTATTATTCGCAAATATAGACATTGTAGCTTCTTTCTAGTTTCATGTAACTTTTTCTTTTTCGGAAAAACATTTTCATTGCACATATCTTAGTGTACTCAATGGATCTTTTTTTATGTTAATATTCCTCCACAAATTTTAATATAATTTAGATCTAAATATTGAAAATATGAATATATTTTTCAATAAAATTTTAGATTAATTTTGTGCAAGAAAGATATATAGTTTGAAATAATTTGAATTTTTTGCTAAAAAAATGAGACAATTCAAATTTAAATTTAAATTTAAAAATGGGGTCACAATGGGAATAAATATTCCTTCTAAGTTTAAGAGTGCGTGAGTTTGTGTGTATATCTTTAAAATTTTGGCACAGAAATTAAATATATAATAATATTTCAGAATTTCTTATACATTTTTAAATCTATTATTAATCATTTTTATGATTAATAGACAGAAAAATTTATGTTTCCCATCGCTTAATTAATGTTCAAACATGGGCTTTAATGGGTCGAAACTTAAATGCCCAGGTCGCTATTTATATCGTCCTTTCCCTCTCAGGCCATCGCCAGCCTTCTCATCAATTCCAGTCAATTATTATTATTGTTGTTGTTGGTTTTTATTATTGTTGAGAGAGATATTTGCAGACACACTTCTTTATAGATATGACCTGTGGGAGGAAACATTTTTTAATGTTACTGAAAGTAATTTTGTGTTTTATTGCTGTTTTTTATTTTAGAATTTGAATTTGTAGTCTCTTAAATTTCAAACAAGATAAATGATCTCTCATCCTCTATTTATGTTGTAAATCATCCTTTGTGTTCTATCATTGTCCATATGCCTTAGCTTATGTCCACACAGCTTTCATCTTAAAATTTCAATTTTATTTGTATACTCCCACCACTGCTATATGCTACCCCAGTTTCTAAATATAAGAGTTAATTTAATTTTTAATTTAGTTTTAAATATAAGACCCTAATCTACTTTGTCTCTCATATTTATCTATTTTTTTAAAATATTCCTTATAGTAGTTAAATAATATACATGATTAGCAAGAGTGTTTTAGGAGAGACAATACCTATTTATTATAAAAAACAAACTTAACTAATTTTTTTAATTTGCTCAAATTAGTTAACTAGCTCTTATATTAAAAACCAGAAGTAGTATAATATACAAATAACTAATTATGTATATACAAAAAGTTAGTCAAAATTAGTTAAATACAATAAATGTATAAGAAATATATTTATTTTTTTAAATACATCCTTATTAATGAAGATGGCGTATGAGGAAGAATAAGTGGGAAAAACGAATGTATTAAAAAAAAAAAAAGAAACGAAAGAGAGTCTGCTAAAAAAGAGGCATAAAATATATTTTTAATTAATGTGTAATAATTAATACATAGCCACGTAATTATCACAATCACAACTAATAATCAGTTGGTCAAGCACTGGGTTTAGACCTAGTGCCCCACTCCTTTTTCCCCCACTTTGCCAACGGAACCCTAAGGCCCTACTTTATACTCCTCCGGTCCTAATTATAGACCCAATTGACTTATTTGAGGAGATTAAGGAAGTAAGTTAAGTTGGTTATTTTATAATAAATAAGTGTTGTCATTCCTAAAATATCCTTGCTAATTAAGTATATTGGCTAAAACTATCATTATTAGAAGGATTATCTTGGAAAAAAATGCATAAATATAAGAAACAAAATGGATTGGGTCTTATAATTAGGACCAAATAAAAAGTCAAATTGGGTCTTATAATAAGGACCGGAGGAGTAATATTATTTTTAGTCTTTAATATCAGAATTAGTAAATTAATTTAAATAGATTTAAAAATTAGTTAAATTAGTTATTTGTAATAAATAAGTGTTGTGTTCTCTAAAATACCCTTACTAATCATATGTATTAGCTAAAACTACTATTTATTGAAACATTTAAACACATTTAATTACTACAAGGACTAACTTGAAAAATATATGTAAATATGACAGACAAAGTGAATTAGAATCTTATATTTAGAATCAAATTAAAATCAAACTAATACTTGTATTAAGGACTAGAAGTAATATATTTTATGGGAAAAGATAAATTTTCTACTCTTAGTTTGACTCAATAATTTTATAAAGCATTTTTTTTCCTGTTCCCTAATATTAATAGTTGGTCTCCAATAATTTTCGTGTGTAAAGTACTATTATGTTTGAAAAAATGTGTTGTACAAGACTTCAAGAGATTTTTTTTTTTTTTTGTGCCATACACGTTACTTTCATTTGGGACCAAATAATATTTTTAAGGATAACATTTCTCCTAAATTTAGATGGAATAAACAATCCAACTAAACAGCACCTCTGGATTCCTTCCAAGTTTTCCAAATCATCCCCACCAAACATTTCTTCTCCCTCTCCCATCTACCTTCTCAATTCCATCACCTTCCTGTTCCAGCCTACCAAACACCTAATCGCTAGGTATTGAATCATCCAGGAACTTCACTTTTGTTCTCCAACTGTCATCCTCCCTTCTCTCTGTGTGTGAGCGGGGTGTGTGTGTGTGTGTATAAGCAGGGAGGGACGCAAGCAGGAAAATTCATTTTCCCCTTCATTCAAATAGTATAAACATACACAACGTATCTGAATTCTGGGAAGTCACTACCAGATTACAGGAATGAAACTAATATAACTTATCCTAATAGTTACAAAGAAAGTGTGCAATACGCAATTTGATATCCTGATTGCTGAGGTATAAAACCGGATCACCAACCAAGTCTTTGTCTGGCTGACAGACTGAAGATACATGGATTGACGTTAGCATATCAAGAAGCAGAGCATGGAGACAACTTCCAGACCAATTCACATTGTATATACAGATAGAGCATGAGTATGCTCCTGTAAATAGGACGACACCATAAAGTAAATCTGCAAGAAGCCATCATTTTATTCACTGACTGCAGCAACAGAAGTAGCGGATGGAGAAGACTGCTGACGACGAGCTCGGGCAGTTACTCCAGCAAACCAAGCAACCCTCATGATCTGCAAACCGAGAATCAATACCCACCAGCAAACCAACCCCCTAATTGTATGCACCATCCATGCTGGGGTGCTGAGTTCGGCCCCAAGTCTCAAACCTCTCATCAGCTGCAAGACCCGTAAGACCCGTAAATGATCGGGGTTACTAGCCAGACTGGCGACTGCCATTGCCAAGTGAGAACCTCAGTGAGAATCTGTACTGACAAAGAAGAAGGTAAGGACCAAGTAGGATTGCAAAAGAGATCGAAGAAGTTGGGGCTGGAGAAAACCCTTCTCAGACCCAAATATCATCAATAGTGGAACAATAAAACCAGTAACAGTTGCAACAATGTTCCAGAACTGGTAACTAAAGGGGGCCTTGCTTTTGCAATCTTCTGTTGGGGACTTTGGTCGTGCACAAGAATCAGCCATAAGGAGAAAAAGGGTCGCGCCAAGGTTAAAGATACAATCAAGTCCAATCAATGAAAGCAAGCTAGCTATATTAGAGCCAACAAAGATTGAAGACATTGGTAACCACAACGTTGGAACCATGCCTGTCGTGAGAAGAACAGAAGGGCCCAGAATCCACATGGGCCATTTGAGAAACTGAAACAAAACATCTGGCTGAA